ATTATTTAAGTATATTCATTTACCCTATGTTTAACCAACATTACTTTTTTATGTTCATTTTAGGCTTTTAATATGCTCAGTATATTTAACTTGTACCTGTTAAAGCAACATGATTTCTTTATTTAAGCTTCACTGTAAAAGGTCTGTTGGACTTAAGTAATAAAAAACATGGAGATCGGTTGCACATATTAAAATCATGTGTACTCAAAACTATTCCATTATGTTAGAGACGCACAACTATATTATGTCAAAGAAACATGAAATTGTTATGTTCATTTGAATATTTCCTTTAATATTAGGTATATTCATTTACCCTATGTTTAACCAACATGACTTTTTAATGTTCATTTTAGGCTTTTAATATACTCAGTATATTTCATTTGTACCTAAAGCCTGTTTTGTTTAAACTACATGCTATAGTTTTCTGTTTAATCTACCAGTGCTCAAGGTATACATAAGATTATTTATTTTATGTGAATAGAGGCATTTCATACATTCTTCTACAGGATCCATCCTAATCTCTTATATCTACAGCATTTATCATGACATTTTAAAACAAATAGCCAATAAAGACAAACACATTTCTTTGAACAACATTCATGTATTTTTCTCAAAAGATAAAACAATATTAACCACCTACACATCCAGATGAGCTTTTGTTTTTTCCATCATGCAGCCCCAGGAGAATTAACAAATACATTGAAAATAAAGAAATAGAATAAATAGAAAATGTTTGTGATGCATGCATTATTGTGTTAGAACACAGCAAGGAAGCTTAAAGGAAATTAATTCTCCCAACCAAAATAAAGGTTTATTGTGCCAAATGGCAAAGAAAGGCTTATTTGTGTAACTCATTCATAGTAAACAATTAACAGATAATGTCAATGCCTAGCCGAAAAAAGGAAATGTTCTTGCAAATCCATAACCTGCTAATATGAAAGGGCACTTTAATACAAAAAAGCAATGGCATTGCTTTGGAAAAACACATGAAAGTATAATAATGGCCTGGTTTCTCACCACATATGCAAAGAAAGTATTACAAATAAAAATAAGAACTGACATTTTGAAGTAGCAGAATTAGTACATTCTGAAACACATGATAAGTGGTACATTCTGAAAACACATGACCCCAGGAAAAACACACATTTCTGAAACATGCAAATCAATACAGCCAAAAGCATGAACAACGGAAGTGCAAGACAGTTGTATCGATGAAAGTCCAGTATACATCCTGTAAAAGTGCACAATGGTCCATGGCAACAGCTCACTCAAATAGTTTGTTTTTAAATGCTTGGGCTTAATTGGAGAGCATGATGCCGTCTAGCTCCATTAACATTTGCTGGAGCACTTTGAACGTGCACTTCAGTTTAGGTGGGTAGTTCAGGTTCATTGCAAACATTAGTCCAAATAACATGGTAGCAGCTAATGCAATGTTGTCCACATCAGTTAGTACCTGTTGGCCTTCCAGGACAATCTGTCCTCTGGTCTCATCTGTACTCTGGTCTCATGGTGGAATTGTGTTTGACGACATAAAGTCCCACTGTAATCCCCTGAATGGACCGCAGAATGACGTCTTCATCTTCTGCCTGCAGAGTGCACAGTCACAAAGGGAACAGAGTGAGGTCTAACAAATCAATACATATATATATATATACCCATTACTAAATCCATGTGTTTAACAAGTACATTTGGTCAGATTTCAGTACTTTTAAGCCTCTTTGTTATCTGATATACTCCTGTCTGACCTGATAAAAAATGTTTTATTTCCTATATCCATTTTAAATTAAAAGCCCTATACTGTAGCTTTTCAGTTCAGTCTGGCTATTAAACAAAAAACAGGGATGTTCACATACTTTTGGCTATATATGTGTGGTGTTTCAATAAATACATATTTTAAAGCCCAACAAAAAAAAACAAAAGATCAAATATTACTTCTACTGACCACAAACTCTTTCAGCAGATCTTGTGGGTCCTCATTGAGGTGCACACACAGCCCCTTGAGAAGACATTCCCGCCCTAAATCGACATCATCAACCTAAGTGAAGGGGAATAAGAAAAGAAAGAATCTGTTTTGCTCAATGAAATGTGTACACTATTGACTCGATGTATAATTTCCTTAAAATGAATTCTTACTTGAGTCATGTTTGACATAATATAGTTCAGACGCTGGCCTATCTGTCCTCCTCTCATCTAAAAAATATTCAGAAGTTTGTCAGATAGCACATCCAGCTGAGAGAGAAATCTTGATTGGAGGGGCAAAATATCAAATAAAACAAAATATCACAGTCATAACAATCATGATTTCATTTAATTTTCTAATGATGTTATGATTGTAGTTGTGTGCTAAATGTATTTACAAAATCACATACCAGGCATATCTTGCCTGAAAACGATGCAGAGAAACTAGTCCATGCATTTGTTACTTCAAGGCTAGCTTATTGTAACTCTTTATTATCAGGGTGTACCAAAAAGTCAGTTAAGTTGCTTCAGCTGATTCAAAATGTATTGACCAGAGCACGGAAAAGGGACTACATTACTCCTGTTTTGGTTCCACAGTGAGAATAACTTTTTATATCAAGTACGAACAACCAGGTTAGACTACATTACATTTAATTTAGTTTACGTTTTTTTCCAAAGCGACTTAAAATAAGTATTACTGTCATGTAAGACTACATATAAGAAACACCCTTATAGTCATTTCAACAAACAAAACATTATCACTTTTGTAAAGGAGGCTTTATCGCAGAATGTTTGGCTTTTGTCTCTCACTTTCTGAATCACTTTTGCCTAATAAATCAGAAAATGTGTATATCCCTGCAATGTTTGTAGTATGTAAATGTAATGAATAAATATTCAGAAATTGTCAGACTAATACCAGTTTTCAATTTGTTAAAGATCAAGTTTAAGTTAGTCAAGTAAATCACACTGAACATTTGAATACTCACCATTTACTACAGAAATCTTCTCCACACCAATTACCTATCACAGAAAAACATATTTGAAATTATTTCATTATTCACACACAAATAAATCAAAAATATTCTGCTCCTTAAAGGGGACATTTACCATTTAATGATGTACCTTTAGGCTAATATGAACCGACTTCGGCCGAGATGGGCACCTCCAGTGTAAAAAGCTACAGTAGCCTAATGCAATGAGTACAACTTTGTACTGAGCCATACACATCAGCGTTGCGAGCTCATTTCCATTGGTTCCAATGGAGACGTGCACTGCAGCAGCGCACACCGCTCGTCATGTGACGAGGAACAACCAATCACAACCGAGAAACATCTCAACTTCCGTAAACACAAGTGTACGGCAAATATGGAAGATAAGTTAATTTCACAGCGGGTGGATCGTCACCCTTACTTGATCTGTCCGGCATGTCCCCCATATTCATGGTATGTGCACCGCTGCTAAAGTGTAACACAATCATTAATATCTTCCACTTTCCAGTATCAAGTGTCGCTTTCCGGGACACACCCCCACACACAATATTGTGTCTCTGTTTTGATCTGGGTGTATTCACGGTATTTACATGAACACAGAGCGGATCAAAGCAGAGACATAAACACAGTTTTTTAGGGAAAACACTGCGGTCCCACAGACAATATTGTATCTTTAACAATCAACACCTTAAATGGGTAAAGATGGTCGCTTAACGTAAGGTAGGCCTACAACCTGCATCAGCGCCCTTAAAAGTCGGCACAAGAGTAGACATGCAGAGCCGGACCGACGCAGTAAAGTTCTACAACGCCTGACAGCAGACATGAAACAATAATTTAAAACAAGACGTAGCCTATAGACATGCAAACATGCCGCAAGCTCATCCATCAGCTATGACTCCCCCCTCCCCACTGAGCTCAGTTTAATGTGCATAACTTTGGGCAAGGTTCATAGTTTTAAATATTGTAAATCAAGCAACTGCCGGACTTACGCTCTACAAATACTCACAGTATAAAAACACGCTAAACACAAGTCAATCAATATAAACTCACCTTATGATTTTCATGGCTTTATCCTAGCTAACACCAGTGAATGACAATGTTTACAAATTGACAGCTGTATTTACGTTGCTCGTTGTAATGGCAAATGTGAACTCTGCTTTTTGCAAACAATGCGTCTTCTGATAACCTGTAACTATGACGAACATTTGATGACATTAAAAACCCTTAAATAACTTTTACCTTGTAGAGATGTTCTCGGGACAGAACCAGCTTACTCCTCCGATGCGGGAAGAAAATATGGTAGAACCCCTCCCCCCTCCTTTGTTTAAAAAAGAAAAAGCTTCACATTTTTAAAGATAAATATATTTTCCAATTTTTTTCTGCTTTACATCTTGTCCATTAAAGTGCCATATTGTTCAGGTTCAATTACGAAACTATTAAAGTACGGGTTTTGACTCCGACCATATTAATTTGTGAATAAAATATTTGTAAATAATAATTAGAATCTGAGTAATCGGCTGCGGAGCAAGCTGCTGACGTATGTGCTCAGTGGGCGGAGTTTCTTAACATGATTGAGACTTATAGAACGTACACCCCTCAAGATTAACATAGTTCTACATGATTGATTCATGTTTAGAAGAGAAACATGAATAAATTATGTCTCATATATTAACTGCATATTTGCAAATTGAACAACCCCACTTTCCCCTTTTTTTCAGTGTAGAGGCGTATCGTGTATTAATAAACTGAACGGCTTTAGGGGAGAGGCTACAGTTAAGTCATTTTGTAACTTGGAGAAATTAATCATCTCATCTCTGTCAACCGAAACTGAAGGAAAAACAAATCACCTGAGAGATAAGGTACAGTGAACAACTGCAGAGGTTAAAGGTCACCTGCCAGCAAATCTGCATGCTGACTGCTAAGGAGAGATAAATATACCATAGCTGCAGATGATACTATCCTGGGTTTGGTTCTAATGCAGCCAGGAGTTTGTGTCACTCTATACACCATATTCAGAAATTGATAGAATTTAAAATATGAGATTTTTTCAAAGGTTGAATTGAGTATGTCTTGAAGTCCTCAAATGCTCCGACTTGACAAATCCAGTTAATATGTTGATTAAATCAGATGGAAGAGATATTTCTAAAGTCATGATGTTTGCAGATTATTGCAAGACTATAAATACAAAATGTGGCACACTAGAAACAAATGAAGCTCAGCGCAAGTTCAGGCAGGAAGACCTATCACTTTGTATTGCGCGTCATGGCAATACTCGCTCCCTTCACTAAATGATAGGGAGCACCACTCCTCAGCTAACCTATCACTTCCCTCCATTCACAAGCCTATTCATCGCACCTGTTAACCCCGCTATATATGCTCTCCCCTTTTCCATCAGCTGTCTTCCAGGTGTCAACGCGCAAGCAGCAGCAGGGCTTCGTCCCAGCTCCGGGTATATATTCATCAGCTCCGCAGTCTTGCGGATTAAGCTACAGGCGGCGTTCCCCAGTTGGCTAGCGGTTCTAGCCGGCCACCCCGCAAACCCGGACGCGGAAGAAAAAGACAAGGATACTGGGCCCGATAATAAACATGTATTCCATACATCACGTCTCTCCTGATTGAAATATATTAGCATAGTCTTATCCTGGTGCTCATCAGGACACTTCCTGGTTAGTGTAGGACTAAAGTGGTATGTTTCTAACACCAGCCCGGCAGAGTAAATTATACCATTACATAAATTACCTTCAAACAAATTCTCTTTATCAAATTTTTACTTTCCTCCTGGTTTAAAGTGGGTGGAGATTCAGTTGGATAAACAGGGCAGATGCAGATCAGCTGAGATGTTAATGTTAAACTATGTTAAATTAGCTTTGTAACAGGAGCATTGCTTAGAGCCAGACACTTCCCTAAGTAACTGGGCCAATAGCATAACAGGGCTATTGGACTTGACAAAAAGTTAAAAAATATAAATTCTTATGTTGCTCTGCATCTGCATGTTTGATGTGTCAATAGGCGATGGCTGCCAACCACACAGTCCACAATGCTTACAAGTTTGCACTATCAACCAGACTCAGGGACAGTTTTCATTCCACAGGCAATAAGACGGTTAAACACCTGTACTGTTGAAACAACATCCACAATATTCATCTGGCTGCTACTTAAAAATTATTTATCTATTTACCTAATATATCATATTTCAATGACTTGCAGACTCTTATTGCACTATTTCACAATTTCACTTTTTTAAACTATTTTCTTCTTGTATTTACAATTTACTATTTGCTTGCACTATATTTTTCTGTTTATCTGTGTTGCACTATTGGAGAAGCCTGTGACACAAGATTTTCATCGACATAACTACACTGTAGCTATGTTCGTTTGACAAATGAAGAACCTTGAAGCTTGAACCTTGAACTTTATAAGGTAATATGTCAATGTTGTGCTTAGCTTTTTGAACGAAAAGTGGCCAAAACATCAAGTTCAAGTTTATTCATTTTTCAGGTTATTTTAGGACCACTAAAGTGCCTCGAACCGTTTCAAATATTTTGAATGTCAAATAAAAAATGGAAGCTTAATAATGGCAGTCAGCGTTGTATTTCAACTCTAATAGGTGTGCACACAGAGCACATGCAAAATGTGATGTCAAAAGCTTGTATTCACTACTGTATTGAATATTGAACACTAAAAAGAGTGGTGTTAAATCTTTAAGCTTGCTCAATATATCAACTGATGTATCTCATCTACTCAGAATAAGTAGTCAAGTCCAACAGTTCTTTCATTTATAAATACAACTAGTGATTCATAGATGATTCGTAAGAAATTACAGTAGGATACGTGCATAATTAATTATTTGCAATGCAACACTAGCCCATTAGTTACACGTCTCTAACAATACTTTTTATATATTAGAGCCATTGTGAAGCATGCTAACATATTAAGAGATATACATCTGTTTAAATGTTTGTGATGGATTTCATACAACTCATTAAATGCTTTCATGAGTATTCGATGTCTTAATACAGATCAATCATTGACTGTCAGTGGCTGGGTTAGGGAGACAGAAGACTGTCTCATGACAAAAGACTGCATCAAAAGATCAATACCCAAAATCAACAAGAATACAGGTTGTCTCTGCTGGACAACCTGTATTATTTCCCTTTTGTGTGTCTAAAAAACAGAGGAGGGGTATGGTTATTATTGGCACTCATTTGTCATGTCGATGTCACAAACAAAACTGTGTACACAAAACATTCAGTGGTTTATGACCCTCCCTTCTTCCAGCTTCCAGTTAAGCCTGGTTATGCTGTGGAGGCAGTGTGGTTAACCTCAACATTGTTATTTAAGAGGACACTCCATACTGTAAGTCCACTGGGTGGGGAAGGTTTGAAACTTGGTAATATTTGTATAGTAGCATCCATCTCTGGAATCAAGAAAAGTCTAAATAAGATTGTGGAGATGCAGTAACACAATACAAATGTAGTAAATCATCGTTGCCTCTGCATTGGTTCAGAAAAATCAGCCAATGGTCTGCCGTTTAGTCAGTCTTTTATAATGATTGTATTGCATTTTATTCATTGTCTTCTCTGTTTTCCATTCCATGAGATTCTTTAAACAAGGGTGGAGACCCTCCCATTCACTACCTCTGATGCACATCCTTATTAGGCAGGACTTCTGAGGCTCACACATGAATCATCTTTTTATAAAACAAACAGTGGTGTATTCAACAGCCAAAATGGTTCCGGACTGAAGGATCTGATCCCTAACTGTGTACAGTTGACTAAGGCAGACACCCGTAAGGCTCAGTGTTGCAACGTTATTTACATCCCTTTACATTCCCATTCTTGCTTCACTTGATGCATTTCAGCTTCCTTTTCACAACTCTCAGCTGCATATACTTCCTTTACTCCCTTCCTATATCTATTGCAATACACATATCAACCTTGTTCTTTAGTGAGCACTTGTGTTTTTTCATAAGGTCCCATAATACACATTTTAATTAGTGTTTTTGGTATTTATACTATTTACCCATCAGGAAGTGGGAAACAATAAATTCAACAAAATGCCCAGCCCTCCAAGCAAACACACACACACACACACACACACACACACACACACACACACACACACACACACACACACACACACACACACACACACACACAAAAACACAGACAAAATAAGGCAATAAGAGTGCTGCTTCAAGTTGCCTTTAGGCGTGTCTCTGTTTGTATTTAAGCTGGGGCCAATGCCATCTTGTTGCAAATTTGCTTATGGTGGCTGTTGTCTGTTTTGTTCCTCTCACCTGTCCATTAGAGGCCCCTCCCTGTCTGTGGTGCACTGAATCCTGTCCTCACCTGCGGAAGCTATAAAGGAACAAAGAAAGCAACGTTAACTCATATCACAAAGAAGAACATCGCCATCCGAGGAGTCTACATACACTGAAGAGGTGAGGATGACTTCCACTGCAGATCGTCTGGCCCATCAGAAGAAGAGGGAGGAAGGCATTGGCACCAACCAGAAAGCAGTGAAGTTCTCCCAGCAGGACTATGAGACTCTGCGGCAGCAGTGTCTGGAGCGTGGAGGCCTGTTTGAGGACAACTGTTTTCTTCCTGAGAGCAAATCACTGGGCTTCAATGAGCTGGGACCATACTCAGCCAAGACCAGGGGCGTAGTTTGGAAGAGGCCAACGGTAAGAAGAAACAGCATTATTACAGCCATGAAAACAGACAACAGTGACAATGTTTGTACTGTAATATGATCATAGGGTTGTTGAGTTCCACACTGGGAGCAAGTAATGTACTCTCTTCTGTTGAGCATCTTAATATTATATTAAAAACAGTAGCTAACTGGTTAGTACATTACGAAAAAAATGCTGAATACCACATTCACCATATTAATTGTGTGTATGATCATAGTTTTACTATTTGTATGGCTTATCTTATGTGTCATCAGATCTAAATCATGTAATTGAAATGTCCTCCTTCTATCTATGTAGTGTGATACCTCTCAAAACTGCTTTCAAGTTTTCAACTCAGTGTGATTGCTTGGTAAACTTTTCAGGAGCTGTGCTCAAATCCAAAGTTCATTGATGATGGAGCCACAAGGACGGACATTTGCCAAGGAGCTCTGGGTAAGTGAACATGAGGACGGGTCAATGATTGCATGTACAGATGGATGCATGAATGCTTTTTATAAGGGAACCACAAAAATCCAACACCTCCACCCACTCTGCCATTAGGCCTGTAAAATGGAATTATCTCAGAGGTGGTTTGTTGCCACATAATGTTTTTCTGCACTGCGGTGTACACAACTTATTTCACAATCTCAGAGCATGCCTCTGCTCTGAATGTGTGTAGGTGACTGCTGGCTTCTGGCTGCAATAGCCTCTCTGACTCTGGACCAGCGGATCCTGGCTCGTGTGGTGCCCCATGGACAGAACTTCACTGAAAGATATGCCGGGATATTTCACTTCCAGGTCAGACAAAGGCCTAAGCTTGACCTTCGAGAGGGCTTTTTTCTTTATTTTCTCTTTTTTTCTTTGCCTTTTTTCCTGTCATGTCTAGCCATTGTACAGAAACAACATGTGAGAAACATTCAAACTGGTACAGTCGAAAGGTTCCAGTTAGTGAATCCACAATTTGCACTGTAACTCTTGAATCTTAATCACTACTTTCCTCATATGAAGCTTGATAATTGTCAATTTCAATCATGGGACAAAGATGTTATCATTGTTCTCCTACAATGCTGATCAACACTTCATTATATGTTGAACAATTCAAAATGTACCTGCCTACACATCCTCAAAAGTCCATTTAGAAGCTGAGATTTCATACATAAAGACACATCCTTTGAATAAGAGTTGACGCAACAAATAGTGTTTCATGTCAACAGCTTCACGTTAATAGGTAATAACAATAAAATTATGAGCGTATTTCGACCTTGAGTTTAATATTTTTTTCTTCTCAGTTCTGGCAGTTTGGTGAGTGGGTGGATGTGGTGGTCGATGACCGTTTACCCACCAGAGAAGGAAAGCTGCTGTTTGTTCACTCAGCGGAGGGATCCGAGTTTTGGAGCGCACTGCTAGAGAAAGCCTATGCTAAGTATGGATCGTTCCAGCTACAGGATATATTTTTCCGTATCAAAACCTTATGGTAAAAATTGACATCATACAGATGATGATTCTGTTCTCGTCCCTCTGTGTCTGACAGGGTGTATGGCTGCTATGAAGCCCTGTCTGGAGGAAACACTATTGAGGGTTTTGAGGATTTCACAGGAGGGATTGCTGAAGTTTACACCTTAAACAAAGCTCCACCGAAGCTCTTCCAAATCATAAAGAAAGCTCTGGGGCTGGGCTCACTGCTGGGTTGCTCCATTGATGTAGGTCTTATTTTCATATTGATTTGCATGCTAACCTCACCTGTGAGAGAACAAACCAACAGTAGTCAGTAAAAAGGTATCCAAGATTGAAGTTTATTTTTTTTTTGTGTTTTCAGATCACCAATGCCTATGAGACAGAGGCGGTTACAGCTCTTAAACTTGTCAAGGGGCATGCATACTCAGTGACTGGTGCGGAGGAGGTATGCAATCCGATGTTATTTTATTTTTTCTAATGCATGTGAAAAACATCACTCACAGTTGCTCTCTCTTCCAGGTTAATTATCTAGGCAGGCAGGTTGAGCTGGTCCGCATCAGGAATCCATGGGGTCAGGTGGAGTGGACTGGGTCTTGGAGTGATGGGTAAATCATTTTGTTCCAGATCCTTTAACCATTATCTACCATTTTTTGTTTGGATTTTCCTAAAAGCAATATATTATTTTCATAAATCAGATCCAGCGAATGGAACCACGTCAGTAAAGAGGAGAAGTCAAAGTTGAACAATAAGGCTGAGGATGGAGAGTTCTGGTAAATCTGTTTATCTTGTATTTACTTACTTACTTCTTGTAATGCAGCAGCAAACATAAATTACAATAAATGCATTATTTTAGATATTGTGTTGATGCCATAATATGGTTTGATAAATCAGCAAAGCAAATGGTATATGGCGTGTGTAGGATTTAGTGGCATCTAGTGGTGAGTTTGCAGATTGTAACTGACTGAATATTGAATATGCATGTCGAAATACTGGCCTTCTTTAATTTAATCGTTTCTGCTGTTGACTTATAAAAAAATGGCTGTTCAACATAGTGGACTCTTTATGTGGACACAGAGAGCTAATAAGCTAAAGAAAACACAACCATGTTTTGTTTGGGGTGGTAATACACTATATTTCAATAGGTTATTCTAATCCTAGGTCCTGTGAGCCTCAGGCTAATGCTAAAAGTGATGAAGAAATGTGTTCCTCTCCTCAGGATGTCCTATTCAGACTTCATCAGGCAGTTCTCCACGCTGGAGATCTGTAACTTGACCCCAGACACGATCATGAGTAACGATGTGGGCCACTGGAACCACTACCAGTTTGAAGGGATGTGGAGGGTGGGCTCCACTGCTGGCGGCTGCCGCAATAACCAAGGTAGCAGAGAAACCATGTGTGTGTCTGTGCAAGAAGTTACACTGCTTCATATAAATAATTACACGTTGTGTGTTCCAGCCACATTCTCATCCAACCCACAGTATGTGGTGCGTCTGGAGGATGTGGATGACGACCCCCTGGATGGAGAAGATGGCTGCACCTTCCTGGTTGGGTTGATGCAAAAGGACGGACGACGGAAAAAGAAGCTTAACCGCAACCTTGAAACCATTGGCTATGCCATTTATAAGGTGTCCTATAATAACATGTTTAATATGAAGTTCTCTGTACTTAATCCATTTTAAAATGTTTGACGGTCTTCTAAATAACTTTTTCTGTCTGTTTTCTTTTTACAGGTCCCAGACGAGGTCTGTATTTATACTGTACATGCAAGTAATCAGAGGTGGGAAGTACATTTACTCAAGTACTGTACTGAAGTACAATTTTGTAAATGGTGTACTTTTACTCCACTACATTTATTGTATGCCTTTAGTTACTTTGCAGGTTTTGATTAATGATGTGAAATATAATCAACACTTGAATAAGACTTTGTTTAAACCTGGAGTAAATTCCCAAGCTACCCTACAATTAGCTGCACCTTTACCAACTTTGATAACACTTTAATGCATCAATAATTATAATCAAACATATAATATATATAAACATATTATTCTGATCAAAAGTAAATGTACTTACTGGTCCATTTCAGAATAATATGTTTATATATATTATATGTTTGATTATAATTATTGATGCATTAAAGTGTTATCAAAGTTGGTAAAGGTGCAGCTAATTGTAGGGTAGCNCGGCGTCAATCGTAAGGCTTTACAGAGTGTGGTGAAAACTGCACAGCACATCAACAGGACGGAGCAGCCATCCTTATGGCCTGTTTTATTCCACAGGCCATAAGACTGTTAAACACCCGAACTTTTGAAACAACATCCATAACATCCATCTGGCTGCAACTTACAAATTATTTATCTAATATATAATATTCCAATCAATTGTATACTCTTATTGCACTATTTTCTGTTTTGTATTTACTTGCACAATTTTTTCTGTTTTACTGTGTTGCACTTTTGGAGAAGCCTGTGACCTAAGATTTTCATCTACATAACTACACTGTAGCTATGTACGTAGGAAAAATAAAAGCCTTGAACCTTCAATGCTTTCATAAATAAGGCGTTTTCAGCCTTAAAAGGGATAGTTTGACACTATGGAATATAATGCTTATTCACTTTCTCACAGAGCTAGATGAAAAAAAAACTAGAAAATAAAAGGGGAACACAGGATGTTAAGAGGGTCATTGTATTGTAGATTTCTCTTGACATAAATTAGTTGGAAGGATACATCCAGCAGATTGATCATGTTGCGGCAAGTCGTCAGGCTAAACCCACTGGTTTTAATGTCCTCTCCTAAAAATGAATCAAAACACAGGGGTCACTTGCTTTGAGTGTCATATAATGAAATGCACATACTGAACTTTACTTTAAGAGGAGAGATAATCCTTTATCTTACTCTTCCCCACCACTCGGTTGAGGATTCTCTGCAGCTCAAATGCAGAAATCTCCACATCCTAAGAAGCATTTGACAGGGACATAAATTGTAAGTTAAAAGAAACAATGACTTGGAACTATAAGATGATGTCAAAAATAAAAATTGTCAAAATGTCACATTTTACGCATACTCACAGCTCCGGCAAGCTGTCCAAACAGTTTCTTGAATCTGTCACTGATGTCATCTTCATCAATGTTAATCTAGACATGACAAAGTATGCATGTTTGTCCTTCCTTGTTAAAAATCAATCTTCAAAAATATATACATCAAGGGTTATGATTTACCTGCTCAACATGGCAGTCCACAGGATCATCTATCTCTCTAAAAACAGTGAGAGATCATATTTAGATATTGAATGATTATAAATAATCTTTGTTAAGGATTTGCACTTATTTGTGAAAGAGACGTACTGGAATGAGGCCGGTTTCTCAGAGAACACCCGCACGTAAAAGTCTCCGTTCTTGTTGGGCTCAAAGGTGGAGGGGATGATGAGGTATTCGCCTGGAGGAAGACAGAAGCGGTTGCAAACTTCTCGCAGGTTGATGAAGGTCTCGGAGCGCGCAGCTGAAGCGTGGCGCACAAAGAAGTTTCTTTTCAGATGCACTTGCTTTTGGCCATAGTACTGGAAAATGACACACATGCAGTACCGTCACACAAGGGCACCTTTAGCCTTCCATTGGTGTAATTAGAGAACTTTTAAAGGACAGATAATTGAGCCATAAACAACAATTGGTGCTCTGAGAAACATGCTAATGCATTAAAGTGTCTTCATTTTTGTATACATACCTCCTTAGGCAGCTGGAAAAAGACAAAAACAATAGTAAGAATTGGTGCCAATGATACATATGACAAATTGAGTACATGACTATTATCGTCTACATCTTAAAAGGCAGCTCCTTACGTCGTAGATGGCAAAGCCGACGGTCTGCATGTCCTGCCCCATTTTCTTCAAACGGCGTCTGTTCTTCTGCATCAAGCCCACGATGAAGGTGCAGCCATCCTCACCATCATCAGAGTCATCATCCGCCTCTTCCAGCTTTATGACAAACTGAGGATTCATCCAGAAGGTATCTATGAAGTAAAGCAAGGGTTAGCAAGGAGCTTGTCAACATTGTTACAGCAGCCAAGACACACACACACACACACACACACACACCAGTTCTGGGGTGAAGATTGAGAAACTGATCATACTTGGGAAGTTTCTGCAACCACCAGCTGACACGCCTCTTCTCCACGTTTCTTCAAATTCTGACTCCGCCCATTTCTGGAACTGGTCATCTTTGAGGGCATCAGGTGTCAGGTTGCAGATCTCAAGGCGGGAATATTGGCGCAGGAAGTCTGAAAATGACATCCTGTGGACAAAGAAAATCACATCCTTAACTTTAAATGGCCTTTTCCTTTTACTGGAGTATTATAGTGTTTTGCAGTTGAAACCCAAGAGGTAGAGTATATTCAGATGTTTACCAGAACTCCCCGTCCTCACAACGCTTGATCAGCCTGTCCCGGTCACTGTCACTCACATATCTCCACTCAGAAGACCTAGGATGAAGTGCCAATACATTCTCATTTGTATGATGAAGTTCAAACATCAGAAATAAACCACAGGCTTGCACCTTACTGTGTCACACATTCCACCTACATGCAAAAACAAGCTTTAAAGCCAGAGTCTGAGTAACAACTTTTTACCACATAATTTACCAGCCTGGGTGTGTATGTCTCCTTGGTCTTACATGCATGTCAGAAACACACACTTAATACCCTTGTCAAAACAAAGGATGTAGATGTTTCAATCAGGCGGGGTCCTCTTATGAACAAAACAAAAGGCATTATTGGGAAATCCTATTTATAAGAAGAAAATGGGAGCAGTTCAAATGATACATGTTGATCAGTTAACAATGTCACCTGTCAGAATCTAAACCAAACCAGGAAAATGTAATACAAATGTGAGTTTATGATAACATGCTCAGAGTTACTACAGTAACATGCACATGTGACCATATTCATTCTCACTTGTCACTCCAGGCTCCATTCCACTCCACCTGACCCCATGGGTTTCTAATTCTGATCAACTGCACCCGGTTTCCTCTATACTCCACCTGAAACAGAATTAAGGGTCAATAACTCAACCAGAAAAAAAAAATCAAAAGGGAAACACTACAGTATAGCAGCAATATAAATATTGCAAAAGAGATCATGCCTCAGTCAGTTACCTAATTGTAACATCTATTACATTTTAGAGAACACATGGTAGCCACTGCAGCTTCATTTTATACCTGGAGATCTTTGTGTATAATATATTTCAAATCTCCATATTTTGAGGTTTGAAAAATTAAGGTTTATTAAAAAAAGAAAGCATGTACGAATCGACCAATCGTTGCGGCTCTAATAAAAACACAGGTATTCCCTCACCAGCTCCGCTCCTGTCACCGAGTAGGCATGGCCCTTCACCAGCTTGCGATATGTGACGGCTTCTGAGTCCGACGCGTTGGTAATCTGGGATAAAGAGGAAACGTTTTAAAGATTAACACCATCATATATATCCAGGACTCCAATCTCTGAGAGTGAAACGTGAATCTCAAACCAACATCAATGGAGCATCCCAGAAGCGATCCTCTATCCAAGGCCTTCTTAATGGTTTTGAAGAGTCGGGGGCCTGCCTTCCCCAGTTCATGCCTCTCAGCAATGCCTCCAGTGAAGTCCTCGAAACCCTCAATGGTGCTGCCTCCAGAAAGAGCCTCGTAGCATCCATTAACCCTAGAGAAATAAGAAGTTCATGAATGACGCGACCAGAAAACGAGATAGTGAATAATACACAATGTATCCTGATGCTTCATTCTTCCATACTTGGCGTAGGCCTTCTCCAGCAGCGCGCTCCAAAACTCTGAATTCTTCTCTGAGTGAACAAACAGCAGCTCTCCATCTTTGGTGGGCAAGCGGTCATCAACCACCACATCCACCCACTCACCAAACTGCCAGAACTGAGAGCCACAGGGAAGAGACACAACTAGTACAAATCAAACCTCACTTTATTTCTATAAGAACGAGGTTGTGGTGTTGAATTGCTGTACCTCAAAATGAAAAATGCCAGCGTAGTTCTTCTCAAAGCTTTGATCGTGGGGGACAACACGAGACAAAACCTGTTTGCTGAGAGTCAGGGAAGCAATAGCTGCCAAGAGCCAGCAGTCACCTGAACACAATTTAACAGTGTTAGAATAACGGGCATTTCATCATTCGTGACACATCTCCAGAACATACTCTGTTTGCATCACACAGACCTTTTGTGAGCTAAGTAATGGCTATTATCTTTTCTTCCTTTGCTTGTTAGCTGTAAACATCTCAATCTCACCCACACATGGAGATGCTTTCTGCCAAATGGGCGTGGAGAGACAAGAGTTAAGGAGTGACAGCTGATGTCAGGGCTCAGGCATTTTTTCAGTTATGAGGTTTGGATCTTCTTCAAGTGGTGTTAAATAATACAATACTGGCAAAAGTTTCCAAAGATGAAACTAAGTAAATGATAATAATGGACATACATACATACATACATAAATACATACACACATACATACTGTAAGCCAGTCACCTCGTTCACATCTGCTAACTGCTATCTTAGATAAGCAATGCAAAGTCCTTCATTCAAATAACTTAAGATGGAAATCAATGTGTTCTTTGTAAAATACAGTAAATATCTCATTGTGACATCAAAATGCATTTGAATGTGAATTCAATAAGAAAATTACAAAAGCAAAGTAGTGTTTGGTAGTTTCAAAAGGAGTGTTTGTGTGTCTTACCAAGTGCTCCTTGACAGATATCAGTCCTGGAAGCATTTTCAATTATGAATTGTGGTTTGGAGCACAACTCCTGAAGGAAAAACAAGTTTAATTCAACTAGTGCCTTTTATTTTATAATGGTGTTACTGCTTTTACATATTTGTTTTAAGGCTTTACTTTGTATACAAATACACTGGGCAAAACAAGACACTTTATGCCTATGTGTAGCATTTAAACTGACATTTAGTATGTAAAAGTGTACATGACCAAAGTATTACAAATAGCACTTCTGACAAACTGAATTCATTAGATACACTGAAATGCACTGTACTGTAAATTATGCACAAGGGACAGGTATCATCTTCAAAATCCAGTTTCAAAATACATTTCAATAATTTAAATGATTTCCTTCTGTTTGTACCCACCCTTGGTCTTTTCCACTGGATGCCCTGAACTTTGTGGGAATTTGGTCCCAGATCTTTGAAGCCTAAGGATGATGGCAGAGGCTCAAAGCAGTCATCCTGAAAAAGCTGCCCTCTCTCCAGACAGCTGTTCCTCAGCGATTCAAAGTCCTGGTTCAGGTATTTAACCGCTTTTGAGTTGGCTCCTATCCCTTGGGATTTCTCTCGGTTGTGCTGAAGTTTAGATGCAATGCCAGACATTTTTATTTTACTCTAAAAATCTCTGACTATCTACGACTGTCTCCCAGCTGGTCTGTGTGTGTGGATAGACAGGCTTTGCTGAAATGTCTCCACACCCTTTATTATTCATGACAGACAACACACTAACTCTGGCTCACCTGCAGCATTCAGCCTACTCCATATCTGGCATTGGTTGATGGCATATTTGACCCAGGTGCGGCCCACATGGATGGATTTATTTTATGTCTTTTATCTCATATTTAACACCAGCGTTACTGTTTTTGTCCTTAACATATCTGACAAAGATAAAATAACAAAAAAAAAGACTGAGCCGCAAGCAATATGAATATGCAATTTAATATCTCAAACTATTTAAACCATTTGATCTGTCTGGTGTGCACATTATTATATAAAACAAACACAGATAGTCCAGATGTAGGAGCCATATGTTAAAATGTATAGTTTGATATATTTGTATATTATAATCCTTTGTTGATAGTGTTATCATATCATTTATTTGAACCAGCCGTGGAATTGACGGCATAGACGACCGCAGCTGTTTTGTGATTACGAGACGTTATAGCTGACGGCAGCTGCTGGTGATTGTGTGTGAGAAGGAGAAAGAAGCACAGAGCAACATAGTTTTTTGAACTGTGAAAATATGTGTTTGTATTTTGATACCTTTTGTTTTAAGTAAAGAGTCAAACAAACCTTCCTGAGACGTATTTTGTCCGAGTCAAGCTTACCTGTGAATCGAATTGGATTAGACGGAACTACACCAGAGGAAAACATTCCTTGTTTTTTCTTTCTTGATTTTCTATCAAGTTTTGCAAAAGTTAAAAGAGCAAAAATACCACAAAAACGGATTAAAAAAGGGTATATTGTGTGTGAGGGATACTCCATACATATATCTCCATGTTTGTAATCAGCAAATATCATTTAATTTGACAAATCCATTTGAGCAATGTGCATGCATTTGGAACATATTGGGAAAGTCCATGGGTTTTTTATTATTGGAAAGAGTATCTTTGAATGAAATTAATTCATTTTTCTTTCAGCATATATCTCAAAAGTATCATCCCTGGACTCCTCTTCAGTTTTTTAGTAGATCGCCAGGCACAGCCACTGTAGGAGGAAACTATTATTATAGAAACCAGCCAAACTAGAAGTACCGAAAAAACCGCATCTTTTGTTATTCTCTCACACACCTGTTGCATGTCCAGCTCGATATTTCCTGCGTCAGCTCTCTCCAGAGACTTAAACATTTCTGGTGGAGAGACGGAAATGTTGATATTGTAAACATGAAACAGATCATATCAGATTGTTGGGTTTGCTGACACTTACTGAAGAGCATTTCCAGTTTAATGAGACAGCCTACAAAGCTGTCAAAGTCTATGGCATACTGAGCATCCGCGTAACGACTGACAATGGACTGCAGCACAGCACTGTTGATGTGGAAACCTGGAAAAGAAAGATAGCCGTCAGTTATCACCATCATTTCCTGTTAGCAAGGGTCAGTTTCATAGAGATGCATTATTTCTGATCCTTGGGAAATATAGTTATTGAAAGGTGTCAGGTATTAGCAGGGTGATAATGGAAGAGTACAGTTACACAGCCACGCCCATGCTTGTTTTGTCCCTGCGGTAAAATATAGGCTACATGAACAAAATCTGTTGCAGGGAGGAAGTCCCCCAACTGGTTTATCTAGTCTGCCAGTAACTGCCTACACACACACACACACACACACACACACACACACACACACACACACACACACACACACACACACACACACACACACACACACACACACACACACACACACACACACACACACACACACACACACACACACACACACACACACACACACACACACACACACACACACACACGATTTGTCACATGCCATGATATTACCATGTAAGTTGGTAAAGGCTTATGTCAACTATGGAGGCACACTCTATTCAAAGATAACTAAATTATGCGGGCAACACATCTACATTTGTGATTCTTATCAGGAAAACAAATACCATTCGGGAATTCAAGCCATTCAATGTACACTTGCAGATGTTTTAACTTTTAAAGCAGCAAAACATATGAGAAGCTTTCAGGTCATGTTGTATAAAACACGTAGATGACCAGCTGACATAACAGTAGTGTATGAGATCTTTCACAAGATAATGTTTGTTACCTGCTTGAGTGGCAGCGCCTCTCATCTCGTGGGAGCTCATGGTGCCCGAATTGTCTGTGTCATGATTCTTGAAGATCTCCTGTTTGACCCAGACAATGTGTTGTGTTAATAGATACAGAAAGATATTCCTACATGGCAATACATATTTCAAATCACATAAATCCCAATTTACCAGGTATTTTTGGATTTTTCCCCAAAGCAAGTGGAATTCCATCAGTCCCAGCTTGGCACTTTCATCTTTCTGAGGAGTGTTTAGGTCTATAAAAAGATCCTCATGGATTATGAATTTAATTCCTTCGTTCACATCTTATTCGCCCAATAATAATGTACCCAAATAGAAACAAATATAAAATTGAGGGATCATTTCTTAAAGAGGATACATCCAGCAGACTGACGATAAGGCGACCAGTCTCAACGCTGAAGCCATCTGTCTTGATGTCAGACCCTGCAGGAAAGTTACAAACATAACTAGCCCCAATTTGGAACTCAAAGAAAATGAAAAGGCTACGTGCAGACAGTATGTATATCAGTATATATAGTATATACATTACATATTTGAAGTATACTACTGTATATATGTAAGAGGTATACTCACGGTGAGAGACAATGTTGTTCAACATTTTAACCAGTTCAAAGACAGATACCTCCATATCCTGTTGGAAAATTGCATATTAGAATGTTTTTTAGGGGTATAGTACATTTGTATCATGCTGCTCTACATACATCGCCAGCAATCTGCTTGAAGACCTCTCTAAAATGAGGATCCACATCATCCTCAGATACCTCCTCCTGTGAGAGCGAAACAAAGAGAGGTCACTCATGTCAAATAAAAGCTTTGACAATTCTTGGATTTTTTAAAATATTCATGGGTGTTGAATTCAACACACAATCGCAGTACTACGTTTTTTGTTATACAAGACACAGTAAAAATACACAAAGGTGAACACATGCATTTTTTTGGAGAGGCAGCCAGTCTGTGCCTTGCTCAAGGGGCACCTCGGCAGCTACCAGTCCACTTGTGTTTTTTGGGTCCGATTGGGATGTGAACGGGCGGTTCTTCAAGTACCTACACAGACTGAGCCACTGCTGCACTCAGTCTTTGGATTTGACCCATCCTAGTGTTAGGATGGGATTAGGAGCAGTGGGCTGCCATTATGTACGGTGCCCGGGGAGCAGTGTAGGGAACGGTGCCTTGCTCAGGGAACTCGGTAGCACTTGGTCTTTCTGGGACTTGAACTGGTGACCTTCCAGACTTTCCCACCACCGCCCACACTTCATAATCGATGCAAAATCACTCTGTGTATGTACATACCTCCTCGATTTCAGCATCAATGTCCTCCTCCAGTGGACTGAAACATATACAAATGCACAGCTTGAGCACACTCTGTTGGTGTGCAGGAAAATACTGAGACTGCCAAGGCACACANAGTTCACTCTTAGTGATTTATCCTTAGTATGAGTAGGTCTCAGCGGCTTTGTGAATAACTTTTAAGAAAAAACTCCTACGTAAAATGTTTTAGCGCGAGTTAGGAGCACTCCTAGCGGTAAGATAAAATGCTTTGTGAATACGGCCCCAGGTGTTTAACAGTCTTATGGCCTGTGAGATGAAACTGTCTCTGAGTCTGGTGGTTTTAGTCCGGACGGCAGCAGACAGAACAGTTTGCGGCTGGGGTGATGGGGGTCTTTTATAATCCTGAGGGCTTTCTTCCTGAGCCGCTGGGAGTAAAGGTCCTCCATGGATGGCAGCTCCATCCTGGTGATGTTCTGTGCATTTTTCACTACCCTCTGTAAAGCCTTACGGAGCTTACACATGGTGGCGTGCGTTGAAGCTTGCCGGCGGTGTGTCTGACGCTCGACCATCATCCATCAATCAATCAATCAATGTTTATTTATATAGCCCAATATCACAAATGTTACATTTGTCTCAGTGGACTTCACAGTTTGTACAGAATATCAGTATGACAATACGACACCCTCTGTCCTTAGACCCTCACATCGTACAAGGAAAAACTTCCAGAGAAAACCCACAGTTTAAAGGGAAAAATGGGAGAAACCTCAGGGAGAGCAACAGAGGAGGGATCCCTCTCCCAGGACGGACAGACGTGCAATAGATGCCGTGTGTTAATTGAAAAGATAATACATTTGCAACATAGGTAGGGCCAACAACCAATCACATTAATCTCCGCCCCGGACACACAAGCACGCGGTTTGATTGGCTAGAGCTTGTACTGGCATATTATTCGATTGGCTGTCGCTTCCGTTGAAGCTTCAAAAGTAGAACATTGCTCTACGCTTTGCTCCCACAATGCAGTTCGGCAAGGCGTGACGTCGTCCCATTCAAAGTGAATGGGCAGAAGCGTTGAAACTTCAACGCACGCCGCCTTGTGTAAGCGCCGTTACGGTTGAGGGCGGGGCAGCTGCCGTACCAGGCCATGATGCAGCCAGTCAGGATACTCTCTATGGTGCACCTGTAGGAGGTCAGGATCCTCTCTATGGTGCAGCTGTAGAAGTTGCAGAGTATCCTGGAGTCCATGTTGAACCTCCTCAGCCTGCGGAGGAAGAAGAGCCGCTGTTGAGCTTTTTTGGTGATGATGGTGGTGGGAAGAGTCCATGTCAGGTCCTCAGTGATGTGGACACCGAGGAACCTGAAGCTGCTGACTCTCTCCACCGTAGTCCCATTGATGGCGATGGGGGCGTGTCCGTCTCTCTGCTGCTTCCTGTAATCCACAATCAGCTTCTTTGTTTTGCTGACGGTGAGATGGAGGTTGTTCTCCTGGCACCAAGATGTCAGGTTTTTACGACCCTCTCTCTGTACGCTGTCTCGTCGCCATCGGTGATCTGGCCGATGGCGGTCGTGTCGTCAGCAAACTTCACGATGGTGTTGGAGCTGTGCGTGGCCACGTAGTCGTGTGTGTGAACAGGGAGTAGAGGAGAGGGCTGAGCAAGCAGTCTTGAGGGGCTCCGGTTTTGAGGATGAGGGTGGACTGGAGGATGTGATGTTTCCCACCCGCACTGCCTGGGGTCTAGCCGTCAGAAAGTTCAGAATCCAATTACAGAGGGCAGTTACAGTTCAGCCTTCAATACCATTGTGCCCTCCAAGCTGGTCATCAACCTCAGAGACCTCGGGCTCAACAGTAGTCAATGAACAGCATTCTCACATACTGTATGTGTTCCTTTGGTCCAGGTGTTAGAGGGCAGTGTGGAGCGGGGGAGGGGGGCTATGGCGTCGTCTGTGGACCTGTTTGCTCTGTAGGCAAACTGCAGGGGGTCCAGAGAGTCAGGGAGGGAGGAGGTGATGAATGTTTTGACTAACCGCTCGAAGCACTTCATGATGATGGAGTTGAGTGCTACTGGGCGGTAGTCGTTGAGACTGGTGATTTTTTACTTTTTGGGGACAGGAACGATGGTGGAGTGTTTGAAGCATGTGGGGACTACAGACTGCAGCAGGGATCTGTTGAAGATGTCTGTGAACACCTCAGCCAGCTGAACTGCACACACCCTGAGAACACGGCCAGGGAGGCCATCAGGTCCAGGAGCCTTGTGTGGGTTAACCCTTTCGAAGGATTTGCACACATCTGCCCTGTTTAAAACAAAAGGGCAGGGCTCCTGATCCTTCTGTGCCTCCACAGCCTGGCTGCTCTTGAATCGTGCAAAAAAACTGTTCAGCTCATCTGGAAGAGATACCCATGCAGACAGTCCCGCACACAGACAGTCCCGCAGCACCCCCCGCTGCTCCTTTGTAATCTGTCATTGTTCTTGGCTCAAACACACACCACTCCATAGATTCGAAGCAGTCCTGCCGAGCTGAGTCTGACTCCTCACTCCAGCGCTGTATAGTCCGTGTCACCGGTCTGTCCCGTTTCAGTTTCTGCTTGTAAGCAGGTAGCAGTGAGATGTGGTCGCCTCTGGCCATGAAGTCTCTGTCCTGTCAATCACTCCAAACAGCTGATCAAGTGCTGTGTTGTTGTCAGCAGTCCGAAAAAATAATCCCCACATCTGTGCACCAGTTATTGTTTATCATGACACACACACCTCCACCTACCTTGCTTCTCTCTGAATTAACAGTCTGATCCTGGCGAAATATAATGAAGCCGTCTGGAACAATGGCGGAGTCCGGGATAGCGGAGTTGAGCCAAGTCTCCGTGAAAATTAACACGTTACAGTTCTTAATGTCCCGTTGAAAATCCGACTTAGTTAATCTAGTTTATTTTCCATCGATTGAACATTAGCCAGAAGAATACATAGGCATGATCCAAAAGTTGATGGGCGATATAAGATATGATGTCTGAAATGAATTATAATCAAAGATTTTAATGTAAAGGAGATATTTGAGATGTCCTTTGGGTTCATTCATACAATTTTCCCCAAATCAAACGTCGCATTTGGTATCTTTTGGAATTTTTGGGAATTTTTTGGGGGATCTACACTAGAATTTACAACTGGGACTTGCATGTTTGGACACATTTAGGCTACATAGCATAAGATTACTGTGATAAGTGGCCCGTCAGTGAAGTCATGTCAGATAGACAACCAAAGCCTGCTCCTTCCATCATAACTGTCCTTGACATACTCTTCAAAGAAAGATGGAACTGGGAAGCTGGGAATCGTGGAATTTAAGATCTTGTGGACAAAGATTGAGAAGTTCCTGGTGTGTTTCTTGTTTGTTTGTATTGACATTAACATGCAATGTGTTACAGTGTGTTGGTAGTATGGTGATAATACATGTTAACTGTGTGTGCTCTCCATCAGGAACTGTTCAAAAAGAGAGATGCAGACGAAAGTGGCTGTATGAGCGCCTCTGAGATGCGGATGGCTGTTGAGGATGCTGGTGAGAAGTTCATTTCACAAAATATTTGTCTACACAGCCATTATCTCTTGCAACTGCAAAGGAAAATACTCAGTAGATATATTTTTTGTGCACATTCTGAAGTGCGTGAATGGCTTTGTCTTCAGATTCTTTCATTATGTGCCGTTAGATATTATTTTAAATGTCAATTGTTTTTGCATTTCGGCAGGTTTCTCTCTCAACAACTCTCTCCATCAGATCATTGTGGCTCGCTACTCTGAACCAAACCTCAGCATTGACTTTGACAACTTTGTGTGCAGCCTGATCCGCTTGGAGTCACTCTTCAGTGAGTATTTCTCATTGTTACCACATTTTAAGCTGTGATCAGCACAGCGCTAAGACACTCCAACAGCACGTACACCATTTTGGATGTTATCTTTTTTTTTTAATAACAACATATCAAAGTGACACACAATTCAAGTAAGGATTCCTGTCTAAAACAGAATCCCATTGACTAAGAAGGATCTATTAAATTAATGAAATATGTAGAATGAACCAGAAACAGTATTTCCTCTTTCCCTAGCACCTGATTTTATAAAGTGATTTACTTTTATTTTTATTTACAACAGACACCTTCAAGATCCTGGACAAGGATGGGTCTGGTGTGATAGAGCTGGGTTTTATGCAGGTAAGAGCGGAGCTGTAATCATGACACAAAACTATAAAGCAATGATTAATTGACCACACTGACCCGTTCTTGTGTTTTCATTCACAGTGGCTAAGTCTGTCGATGTTGTAGAGGAGCTCCTCTGACTGTTAACTGATGGAGAATCAAGACATGTGTTGAACAGATATCATATCTGAATATTATGGACAAGTGGATTAAAGTTTGTATTTGATTTAAAACCTAATCAATGTATTGTGAGGGGGAAATAATTACTATGGGTTTGATTTTCCAGAAACATAATAAAACCAGAATGTCACACAAATGAGAATCCTTTTATTTGGAGTAAATCATAATGATATCCCTTTGAGCAGTTTGCATATCAACTGGAAATAATAATGTTAATAATGTCTTTCTGCCCGCTCAGTTCTTTCGTATCCTAAGAAGTGCACAACAGACAGTTCTGATAGTGTTCTCAAGTATTTTTGGTAAACTAAGATCAGAGAAATTAAGACTATTGGAAATTATATCTTAATTTACAGCTCTTTGTGGTATCTAGCACAACAAGTCCTCCAACTCATACGACCAAATGGGCCGATTGTTCGGGCCCTTATTACGACCAAATATGCCGTTTGTTCAAGTTGTTATAAAGTTTTCGCCCTCTAGTGCTCCCGTTGAATGCTAACGTTACAGATGGTAGTTTATTCACAAATAACCCTCTCTGTAAAATCCTAAATTGTAGGATAGTTTGGCCATTAAAACGCTTTTTGATTAGATTTCTAGCGAGAAGTGTATATTGTACTTTTAGAATCCACGTCCAGTCGATATGTAGGATCTATAGTTTGATAGATATTACGTACGAAGATGATTTGAGATATGCGGCAGCCTCCATGTAAAGTTACGGGTTGAAAACAGTATTTCCGGTCTCGACGTTTTCATAATAAAACCAATGATCAAATGATTTAACAGTGATATTTGCAGTACTCATCAACTAAAAAACATCAGTTTATCCTTGTTAATTATACAGCATTTATTGGTTTAGATTGTGTACAATGCTTTTGTGTTTTTCCCATAGGTTTTTGTCTTTCGATTCTGAGAGACACCTTTCTTTTTTCAGAGGTTTTGAGAAACATCGATTGTTTTAGCCGCAATGCATGTCGGGATATGGTTTTCATGCGATATGAAATCGGAAAAACATTTTTTTAAAATAAAATAATACTTTATTCCGAGTGTTCTTGCTTTTCTCTTTGGAAGTCATCACATAACGGCATTGTAATACACGGTTCGGCTGCATTAAATATTTCTGCCCTAGATTTTTATTTATAGAGCCCTGATCAGAAGACCTTTTGACAAACTGTAAGAAATGCCGCCAAAACTGAATATGTGACGTGGATCATAAATATATTAGCAATTAAACAACATCTTCCATTTACTTTCACACAATACGTCTCCTCACAGTATCAACACTAATTCAGCTGACTTTTATATTTGATCCAATTGGTAGATAGATAACGGTGCACAGCTGATAGAAAGGGATTTTTTGTAGTTTTTAAAGATATTATTTACTGAACTACCTTTCCAACTCCTCATGCAGTTGACTGTTACAGGTCTATACAGGTTCATGGTACAATGCATAAGCTTCAAATCGAGAGACTGAAACTGTATTTTCCTTTACCGTTCTGTTTTAATTTCACAATAAAGTTAATAGTCATATTATGTTTGATATTATTATGTTTTATTAACTAC